CAAGATTTCTATTTTAATATCTTTACTCTTGATAAGATAATCCTAGAGGAACGGTGGTGATCAAATATTTACAGGCAGTGCTCACTGACACAGTCTATTGTAAAATTAAATACATAAAATTATGTGGGGATAATGTTAACGTCGTGATAGAAGGACAAAAGGCATCGTGCTCAAAATGAAGGTTGACTCTTCTTAATACATCCTCTGAGGCAGGACCAGTGCTGCTGGCATGGGGAACAGAAGAGCTGCTTTCATTTCACATTTTGTGACCTTTCTCTGCTTTTCAGTAGCTTGTTTGCTATTTAAACACATTTGCTTACTTAATGATCTTGATTTTTAAGTATGTATTTGTGTCTGTGTGCTGGGTATCTCTCTGAGATGCACTGCATGGCTAATGACAGAGAGCAGGATTTGGCACCAAGCCACCCCCTTGGGAGACCAGGTTTGGTCCCAGCCCAGGTTTGGTCCCAGCCCAAGTTTGGGCTGTGCTGCAAGGGCTGTGCAGAGCAGAGGGCACAGACTGGGGGCACAGGGGGGGTCTTTGCCCACTCACTACATCAGTCAGGATGAGCAGTTCCCTCTGGGGAGCTCTTCTTACTGCCCTGCAGACAGGCACGTGCCCCAGGACAGGTAGAAGTGCCCAAATTCCTGCTATTATTGATCTTGAGACTGAGCAAATGCACTCAGGGAGAAACCTTTGCAAATACAATTTTTTTTGTCTTCCCCTTCTCTCTCTGCATTCTTGGTGGGACATGAGGTGGCCTGAAGGCTCTGTCCCTGCCTTGGCTGTCCCCAAGGAGCACTGGCAGCCCCACAACACACCAAGGCCCCTCTGCCACTGCTCTTTAATGGTGCTCCAGTGATGCTCAGCCAGAGCACAGGGAAAATGAAGTGCTGATTTAGGCTGAAAAGCCAGTGCTAGCTAATATAGGAAATTACTCCAGCAATCATCACTCTTTTCCTGTCACTATGGTGACAAAAGAAATGACAAAAGCCTGAGCAGAAAGATATGGTGACACAAGTAGAGAGGGACAGAGCAAATGCTTGGCGGCTGCAGCCAGGTCAAGGTAGGTCCAGGAGGGGACAGGCAGTGCAGGAAACCTGTGCTGGAGCCATTGCTACTGCTGGATGCAGTTGTGTCCCACACAGGGGTTTGCAATGTGACACAAGGACTAAACCCATGTTGCACCAAGTGTCACAGCCAGTGCAGCTACCACAGACCTAAAAAATAGAATGATCTCAGTCATACGAGGCTTTTGTGCCACAGTTTTAATCCTAATGCACTAACCATTGATTTTTGCACCACCTTCCTTGTTTGCCCCCTGCCCTAAGGGGGTCTGCAGCCTCCTCCCCACAGCGGCAGCAGCTGAGCATCCTTAGAGGACACAGAGGAACTCTGCTCTTCCCAGCCAAAGCAAGGTTCACATGGGACTTGGAAACAGGTGTCTACAATGAATGGGAAAGCACAGGGAGGCATGCCTGGAGGCAGCCCAGGACTGTGAGGAGCAGATGAAGGGACTCTGGCTGCTCTGCCCTCTGGCTCTGCAGCACTGCTGGTCAGGTTTTCCTGAGGCTCTTCCAGCATCCCCCATCTCGCCAAGCACAGAGACAAGGTACCAGCTCCCAGATGCCCAAGCAGCAGGTTGCTGTGCTGCTAAAGAAGAGAAATCTATCTCAAGAATATCTTCTCAAGAAACTCCAAAGAAGAAACTGGGCCATTGCACCAAAATGTGCAGGTCCAAGGACAACTTGCTCAGGAGTCTCTGGTGGAGAAGGTGCCAGTGTGTTGGTGCCCATCCTGCAGTGACAGTCCAAGCCCTGGGGGCCAGGAGGAGTCACCAGCAGATCAAACAGCATCCAGTGTCTTTGCCATGTTACGCTGAATTTTTTATTTTCTTGGAGTCAAAGGAGGAAAAAGGGTGAGGTGCAATGGGGGAGCAGAAGAGGGCTCTGGTCAGAGAAGTGGGGAAAATCTTCATCCTGAAACACACCCTCTGCCCCACCTCATCTTTTTTCTTTCTTTTTTTTTTTTTTTTTTCAGGAGGGAACACAGTATTTTCCAGCCAGCTCTACTCATGAGTGATTGTGCAGAGCTGTGCTAATGGGCTCTGCCAAGCTGTGGTCACCCTACGGAGCTATTGGCAGGAGAGGTGGCAAGTTGGAAAGGACTACAAGGGAACTCTGCATGATATTTTTTGATGAGCTGATTATTCAGAAATTTCACAAGAGCTGAAATACATCACTCTGTTCTGAAACTCACAGCCCTGCCAACATACAGGACAGCTTACATGAGCAGCAGCATTTTCTCCTTCACAGAGTTGCTGGCCTGCACGTCAGGATGCGGGAATTGGACAAGGCTTTTCAGCAGCCATCGACCACAGTGACAGTGAGAGGTGGGGAGTGGATGGGAGGACACAGAAAGCTGGCATAGATATTATTTTGGTACTTTCATGGCTGTCACTATGTGTGTATTTGGGCTTGAGAGTTTTTCATGAGCTCTGTGGGTACTGGGGCATTTAGAATTTTATTGCTTTATGGCTGGGTATGAGATCAGCCCAGATTCCACATGGACTCAGGTATTTTTATTTCAGGACTGCTCAGTCCCTGGCCACATTTCAGGGTACTGTCACATGCTCAGGAGCTGACCTTGACTCCCCCCACTGCAGCCAGGACCTGCTGTCTTGGCATCAGCCTGTCTGCAGCCCAGTCAGGCTCCCACAGAGACCAGCAGAACATTTTTCCTTCTCTCCAACATTACCTAAAAACAAAACACTGGCTTATTTGAGCACAGAATCAAAAGAGAGCCTGATACCTGGGGGTGGGTGAATGTGTGCTGGGGGAGCTTAGAAGCAGCATAGGTTTCTGAATTAACCCACAAAGTCTTCAAGGAGCTGACACAGCCCATCCCCAGCCCATTCATCTGTCAGCACACACCCGTTTTGAGCTGTCTGGGGCAGCATCAGCTGTCCCATGGATAACCTGGAGCTGGTACATCTGCATCTGGAGCAAGAACAATGTTGAACTGCTGAAAGACAAATAACAAACATCCCCATGCTGCACTCACAGCCTTTGCTGAAAGCACCTGAGCTGCCTGGCATGGCAGTGGATGCATGGGCTGATGTGTCCCATCAGATCGAGCTCCCAGTAACCTGTCTGCTCTCCTGGCCGTGTCCTGAGTCACCTCCTCTGCAATTTCTGTTCCAGGGCAGTCAGGGGACATGTGGAGCTCCCAAGCTGCTCCCCTAAGTCAGTGAGGAGAGCTGTGGCTGAACCATATCTGGTTTACTCATGGAAAAAGAGGCTCACAGGCACAGCCTTGCAGCCCTTCAGAGGAGCTGCTGCTTCAGGAAAAATCTTAGGAATTGAAAAAATCGGGGAGATTTCCTTCTGGGTAAGGACAGGGAATGAGGGTCTGAGCTCTGTCCTGTTATGAAGCCACCCCATTGGGACCACTTCTCTTGTGCCACCTGAGCCCCTGCACTGGGGATTTTTCCCATGTTTCCTGCTTTGGGTGAGGGAGCTCAGCACTGCAGCATTCTCCAGCCCACAGGCAAGCCCCAGGCATGACCCCACGAGGGTGAGATGAAGGCTGAAAAGGACAAAGATGGTTACAAAGTTCACCAGTGTCTTCAGCACAGCATCTCCTCACATTTCCTGCAACGGCACCTCTGCATACAGCTCCGTGCCTGTGGAAAATTAAGTCTGTAAGAAGTATATAAATGATCCAGACAGCATCTTCAAGGTCCACATCTTAAAGAAACCGTGAGGGTTTACTCCACATACTGCTGCAGGATGTCATGTACTTCATGATCTGCCTTTTCTAATCTCTCCTTATCTCTCACTCCAATCCTTTCTCATGTCCCTCATCTATTGCAAATTCCCTTTTTAAGTTGGAGCGAAGCACATAAATATTTTCATGCTGCATAAATAGGTTGTTTTGTGCATAATGTCACAGGAGGCCTTTTTTAAAACCAGGACCTTTAGTGCTGTGATAACGGCCTCCTCATTTACACAAATGAAATCTTCCATGGAGCTCAGCACTCATCTGCTCTGCAGCCCCCATGCAAAATGCCTGGCACAGAGCCTGCTCATCACAGGCTACAGAATTAATACAGAATATTCCATAATAAATAGGAAGCCATTGAGCAGCAGGTTTGAAAATGCCTTGCAAATGTAACTGATGCTGAGGTTTTTCTTTAGTGTTGCCCAGCAGCACAACCATTGTCTTCATTCTATGTGAAATCACAACAACTTGAAAGGCTAAAGTGCAAAAGGACAACCATTTATGTTGGCCCATTTGCCAGCATCTTTGACCATTCTCTCTGCTCACCTTACCTTCTCTGTTGCTTCTTGCTCCCTGACCTTCATTTCCTGTTTATTCAGCCCTTGCTCAGGGTCTAAAAAGTGCAGACACCATCAAAATGGACTTTTCATTTACTCTGCACAGAAAAAGAAATAGTGTTACAATCTGTACAGTTTTTAAAAGGGCTAATGGAAGATACTGGGGGCCACATTGGGTCATGGTAAGTCTTTGAATCAAAGTGGTTTTCAGGAGCAATATTTAAATAGCACGACAGTAAAAACTGGAATCAAACATCAGTGATTTTGCTCTAGTATTTCTATTTGACAAGCATAAGGACTTCAAGTCATTGGACTGAGTGGCTCTGCAGAACAGAGAGAGACTTGGTGAAAATGATTAGAACTCATCCATTGTGCATTTTCATACTTCTCAGGTCAGGCTGTAACCCTCCAGGACAGACTATCATGAAGCAGCTGAATTTGTTCTGAACATGATCACACTGTGCTGCCAGGCAGGCAAAGCTCTACCAGGCTCTGGTCTGGACCTGACTCCACAGGCTCTGCACCCTGTGGCCTCCCTCAGCATGACTCTTGTTGAAAGACCTGGGGACATTTTGTTTTTCATCCTGACTTTGGGGGACACAGAAAGCTTTGGTTGTTTGCTTCTCTGCAGTTCCAGAGGAGGATTATGGGTGCTCTTTTCATGCAGATCTTACGGACTCATTTCTTCTCTCTTCCATCTGTTGTTTGCCTTCTTTTCCTGTATTATGTGTTAGCAATCAACAACTAACCCATGGTGGGTTTCTTCCTGTGCAGGGTTCTCAACACAGCATTTCTTGCCCAGAGATTGTTCCATGTGGGAGGCTCCCACTCGTTGTTTATGGCTGGGAGCAGCCATTCATGCCAGCCTAACCCTAATGTGATTACTATCCCATGAGCAACTTCCCATATTAATTGTTTTACAGAAGTGTTTTGTGTCACTTAAAAAGATAAGCCTTTTCATAATGCTTTAAAAGAACAGAAAAAAGAAAGATCTCAGGAAGCTTAATATTTCTTGTTATAGAACTCACCTGAAGAAGAAACAGCTTTCCAAGTTTATCTTGGCTAGTCTGTAACAAAGTCTTGGTTTGTATGAATTGCCACACTGCTAAAAGATCTAATTTTTCTGTGATAAAATAGCCTACATACAGTAACTGAATCAAAGAGCACACAAGGAGTAAACACTTTATAACGTACCTAAACGCAGTAGCTACTTGATTTTCCTGGCACTTTATTTCTATTTAGGCCAAGGGACAATTTAAAAAGATTCATTCCCAAGTACACAATTCAGAAAAATATGAGTTACAATTCGGAGCAATATTTTGAACCAGTGCTGTTTAGTTGTCTTAGCTGGAATTCAACCTTGATGATATCCAAAGGTCCAATAAAATTTTTCATGGAAGAATCCCATACTTGTAGAACATAATAAAATTGTTGAGCTGCAGTTCCAGGGCCACTGAGAACTGGAGAATGAGGTTGTTCTTTCTGGGGACTTTCTGGTGTCTTGGGAAGTATTCCAAACACTTTGTTACCTGAGAAGTATCAAACATAACAGATCATTACATATAATAGCAGCTTTGATCTTTGTTAGTAAGACAAAATGTGAGGCTGTTTATTACTAACGACTTAGGTGCTCATTAGTGTGTTCTGACAGGAGTCCTGACAGCAGTAGGCAAAAGGAAATGTTCAGTGTTAAATCCCCACACAGCACATTGCAGCTCCTATGCAACAGAGGAAGGAGAAAAGCCTTGCACACCACTATTTTAAAATTATTTACCAGAGCAAGAAAGAGATTTATCAGATTTCTTATCTGCTTTTTCAAATAAACTGCACTTGCAAAGAATAGCAATGCCTGCCTTTCACATCGTGCTTTTCATTCCTAACTCACAAATCACCCTTGGACAGAGGTCAGGATCATTTTACAAAAAACAAACATGAAGTGAGGCCACCTCTCTGATGTCCCTGAGTAAGACAGCACAGTCCCCAGCCCTGCTGACCGCTCCTCATAGGAACAAAGGATTAGAAAGGGCATCTTGTGTCATCAAATCCAGCTTCTTACACTTCAAAATCTATTTTGCTATAATAACCTCATGCAAGACTCTTTGAGGCTCATGATCTCTTATATAAGCTCCTACAAATAATCTTTCAAGACTATCATCTCTTGTTTATCCTCATCCATCCTGACCATGTGGTGGGACTCTGCCTAATGCCAAGGAATTACACACCAGTGATTTGGAAGCATCACCCAGAAAATGCCCCCACACTGGAGAATGAATGGGGCAATTCTTGCCATGTCTGCCCCAATTTTATGCATCTCTTGGTGGTCCATTCTCGTAAAAGACCTGTAATAGGTGACATGACAGATGTGGAAGGTGTTCCTAAAGGAGAGAAATAGAAGTGCTGAGAGCCTGAAGCTGTGGAAGCTGCGTGTGAAATCCCTGCACAAACTCATGGCACAGGTGCTGCTGCAGTGGTAGCTGGAGGCTTGCAGCAGCCCCAGGTGCTGACACAAATGGGGCATTTGAGTTTATTCCTGCAATACCTCTGCTTTTGTGTAGAGACTGACATCCTGGCAAACAACAGAACCTCAAGTACGCTCAGTCCAACATATTTCCAACATCCATCACTCCCTTCCTTTCTCAAATAACTACTTACTGCAGGAGTTATTAATGCCTTTCCACCACACAGCCTAGACACCGACACTCACACAAAGGCAGTGTTGAAGCTCTGAGGTCATGTTCGAGTTGCTGGTTCCAAAGTCTCTCTGGGCAGTTCTATTATGCAGCAGCTACAGCAACAGGATACCACGATACAAACCTTTGCTAATAATTGAGCATGAAATAGGCTTTTGGCTTGGTATCTTCCGTTTTGTACCTTCACTTCAGAACATGTTTAGAGCTGGCTTCAACACTGGGAAAATTATCTCAGCTTATTAAACACAAAGCTGTTACCCAAGTGTTGGATGAGGGCATGGCCCCCGAACTCGCTCCCCGGGGCTGCGCGCGAGGCTCGGATCTTGCTGCTGTTGTGGCTGCAATTCCCCAGCCACCCACTTCTTTGTTTGATTGTCTCTCTCACTGAAACATATGTTTCCCATTCCCACGGCATTTTGAGCAACAGTTTCCATTGTAAGCCCCTCCTGACTGACAGTTCGATGGCAGCCTGTGAATCACTTGGCACGTATTTTGAGAATCTGCTCCGAGGAGGGTCTGGCTGATTGTGAAGAGCATCCTCTGGCAGCTTTGGGGGCAAGAGATTAGCATCATTTTAGCACAGGTTTGGGTGTAAGAATACCTAGTCACAGTTGATATCATCCTTATTTGAAGCTCAGCATCGTCCTGTACCTCAGCTCTTTTACCCCAGGTCCTCAGACAAATGTCCACCACTTATGCTCAGCTTTCCCCATTTTCCTCTCAGACAATGTGACACACAAAGCCAAAGATGAATCAAGACCTGATCCCACTGACAATATCTGATTTTGACAGGCAGCCCAGGTAGGCATTCAGGCTGCTGGATGTGCAGGTTAAGAGAACATTTGGCTGTCAGCTTTCTTCACCAACAGTAAAGCATTTGCTGCTTTGCATTTATGCTGTACAATCGTGTCTGTGTCCCTGGCCCTGATGTTTCTACTGTAGCCATGATTACAGGATCCAACCAGTGCTCTGTGGAATTAATGAATTAAATGGCCACCTATAGGGAAATGAAAGTCCAGAGAATGAGGTGTATAACTTTGAGGACAGTACTACTTCCAGCCTCAAAACAGAGCTGGAATGGGTGTGAGGGGAACATCATTGCCTCCCACAAGAGGATGACATTTCATTTATAACTCTAGCTAGCTCTCCTGTAGCTCTGTTTTCATAAGAAAAAATCACGTTTTTCAACCAGAAAAATAATCAACCTCAACACTGAGGCTGTTGTGCAATTAGCACATTTATTTGGGGAAGCCTTTTGCCCTGAGCTTTCTAGTCTGGGTGTCACTGCTGTACAGTCACTGCACCACTTCTGGCTGTTTGCACCTTGGAGAGGTAATGTAATTCCTGTGTATAAACCTTCTCCCTGATGCAGGGTTGGAGAGTTTGGATATTTTACACTTTAAAAATACCAGCAAGGGCCAGATTATGTTTGTTGGATTTGTGTTGATAATTAATTTTCCTTGCATCCCATTGAAATGACAAAAACATTACTTTATATGTACTTACTGCAGAAAAAAGAGAATTTTGGGTGGAAAAGCACAGACCCTATGATCTGATCCATCTTGTCTTTGCTATTTCCAACTACTAAAAGCATAATGTCACACTGAAATGCATACTTGGAGTGCTGCATTCTCTTCTGACAGATTTTTATGATATTTTTCAAGGTGACCTTCATAAAATGTGTTTCTTTTGAAGTTTATACTTCATTCTCAGGTCATAATAGTTTCACACAGGCAAGCAAACTGCCAGCTCCTGCTTTCTAATTAATGCTTCTTGGAGGCTTCTGAGTGGGGGAGATAATTAATAGCACTTAAGTCTGGAGTGCAGACAAATCTATAGCAGATTACTGGGATGTGTGTTTACTTCAGGATTACACACAAACAGCTCCTAGACCATGCCCTCTGGGAATTGCCCAGGCCCTGGCACCACCTGACTTTAACTCCAGTGTAAGCACTCAGAAGGTTGCCCTGCTTTATCAAGTGAGGCTCTGAAAATACTGAGGGTCTCTGATTGCTGCACCCCTTGTCCCTGCTCCCATTTCCCATGCCAGAGTGGGAAAATGCTCCCTGGGCTTCTCAAAGCTGCCTGGTGACTCTGCTTTGCCAACAGGCAGCACCAAGTGCAGAAAATACCTGCACCACGCCCATGGTGCCCACCCAGGGGACAACCTGCTCTGTGGCCCACAGTGCAGGTGCAGCATCTTCTGGGGCAGACTGTCCTCACTGCATCCCAGATGCGCTCTGTGGACCACAGACATAGCCATTACTTTGTGGGTTTATGCACTTTAAAGTACCAGAAATGATAGGAGGGTTTTTCTTACAGTAAAACAAGCAAAGATGGGTATTGCAAGTCATTTTGTCATACTTGCCTAAATTTAAGGAAAGTGATGGGATTGGTGTTCACTCTCATGTATGCAGAACGGATTGTCACACTCCAGAGATGTTGGAGCAAAATCAGATGCAAGTCAAATTGCCAGTTTAAATTCCCCCCTGGCCAGCTGCTGCTATCAGGGGTAATTTTCCTGCTGAAGTCAATAGAACAGCATTTTTTCACACATGCCAAGATCTTGGTGCAGAACAGGCAGCTGTGAGGCAGGATGAGTGCTCTCAAAGAATGAGTGGGGGGAAAAAAAAAGTAAAATTTATACTCTCTGGAAAAGCTGGAAAGACTATATTATCCAGAAACATTGCCAGACTGGGGACAAGGGGGAGAATTGACATCAGAAATCCTTCAAGGCTGTGCAGGACACATTATTTGATGGGATTTCTACAATAATTTGGCATGTTGCAGGACACAAAATATTCAGGTGCTTAAGCAATTAAAAGCTATTGAATATTTGTAACTCTAAGCACTTGGCAACAGAATATCACTGTCAACTTCTTTATGCAAAGGGATATTTTGACATTGTACTGAAGACTGACTACTTTTCTAATGGCATAAAAGTATTACTTCAGTTATGCACAAAATAGGAAAACTACTGAAACTTGTGCAGCCTGGTTCTTTCTTCAGAAATAACAACACAGACTGAAGCTGCCTTTGAAGAGAAACATTTTTCACATACTATCTGAAGGTTAAAGTCTTTTAATCTTTAGCCTTTTTGCTGGCATGTGCAATTTAAAATGCTCAAAACAGACTATCAAAACACCCAGCTATACATAGCTAGAAAATTCAAAAGGCACATCTGAAAATAGGCTTGGAAATTAGGGTGCTGCATCCAATCCTGCTCTTTGAGTAAGGACCTTTTCCCTGTGGATCCATCTCAAAAAGCAGCCAAGCTACCAAACACAGTTGACCAGAGCACAGCCACACAGAATGAGAAACAGCTCCCAAAGAGGCTCCAAAGAGGTAAAATCTTGGTGCTACTAACAAGAGTGACTAACTGGGGAAATTCTATATTAAATATTCTCCCCCTATAAAGTTTTTCCTTCCTCTTCTTTCTCTTTTCCAGAGTCACATGAAGTTCTCCTGAGCTTCAGCTCTGCAGACACAGTTCGGTGAGCAGAAAGAACAAGTCCTTCTAATGAGGAGGGATACAGTGGCATGGGGACACCCAGGGGAAAACCAGAAACACATGCAAAGCACAAATTCACTCACTCATATTGCACACATAGATAAAATATTTAAAGATAAGCATTTTCTTAAGGGTGTAAACTTAGCAAGGCTAAATGTGTTCATTTCCTTAAGCAAGTGGATATTTTGGGTCACCTGGGGACTGATGTAGAAGCAGCAGCAAATGAAGTAGGGAGAGAACTAAGAGCTTGTTGCCTTACTCAAGTATTTATTAGGAAAAAGTTACTCACAAGTCCTTCTTGATCAGATAGTCTCTAAATACAGGTAAAAGATGCTACTGGACCTTGTCCAGTAATACAGGAGTTGTGGCAGGTGGTGAAGGGCTCATGATAAAAGTAAGGGTAGCTGGAAAAGCCTTAAAACACAGCTCAGTCTGCCCAGGCTAAGCTAGCTAAGCTGGGCTTCTTAAACAAAATAATGAAGTACAAAAATAATGCATGAGGCCTTAAAAAACACTATTTATTTGCTGCAGAACACCCACATTGAGCTTTTTCTGACTTTCCCTATGCTGCATGAAAAAAACTCAAGCGTCATTCAGGTAAAGCCACAAATGGCAAAATAAATCCTTTGTAGGTGAAATACAAAAATAAAAAATAGCTTCAAAGAAGGACAGATTTAGCCTGGTTAATTTGCTAAAAGTTTTCAATCTTCATCACTTTAGAAGCAAGGTTAAGAGAGAAGACAAAGGCTGAGAAATACAGAAGGTGCATAGATATACCTTTATCTCAGGTTCAAAACCTTAAACCTCAGAAGCAAAATAATGTTGGGGAGAAGAGATTGACAGTGATGCCTAATGTTGGGAATCAAGGGTTGGAAGGACTAGACACTCTCATGATAATGATGCCAGGAAGATTTAATTTACCAGTTTGTTCTAGGAAAGGTAATGACCTTAATATCCCCGGAAATGTATCAAGAGGTCATCCATGAAGACACATGCTGACTCATTTTCATAATAAATGGAAATAGATGTCCAGCCACATGAATTTTCTTGCAGGCAAGGATTTATACCATCTATCCAGCTTTGTGTTTAGTATCAGAAGAGATAAAGAACATTTTATTGATATGTGGGGATTTAATTCCAACCTTTGAGAATCTTTAGGAAAAAATGCATTTCCAATTCATTTCTGAAGAGACCAAAAAAAAAAATCACATCAAAACCTACCAAATCAATAAAGGGAAATAATATCACACTGGAATAGGGCTGTGCCATTTTCCCCTAAGTACTGTTCATTGGTTGCTGGGCCACAGATGAAGCACCACATCATGTCTCTGTTAGAGAAGAGTCCTTTCACATGCATTATGCTCTTCCTGGCTGAGTAATTCACTTTTGAGCAGCATATTTCTGAGAAGGTGAAAAGTGGGTGTCTAAATGCAACTCCAGCAGCCACTGCAGAAATGTGACCGTGTAGCCCAAACCCTGCTGCTCCAAACCCTGGAGGTCCAGCTGCTGGGGAGAAATTTCCTTCACAGATGGGAATTACATGTGTTACATGGCTTTTTCTGTGCATCCACAGAAGGGCTGGCACAGCTCCTTTGGCTGGAGAAGACAAGAGCATGGTCACGATGCAAGAAAAAAAATGGAAGGGGAAGTCTGATGAACTCCAAATGGAGTCATCCAAAATGCCATCCAAATGGCAGAATGGCACAGGAGATGAGAGCTGCCACCTAAGAGTGCCACCCATACAATGTGTGGTTTAGCTCAAGATTTCTCAAGCCACGCTGCAAGCAGTGAGTCACACAGAGAGGAAGGTTATTTCTGGGATTTTGGTTCTTCAAAGGAAAAACATGAAACAGTCAGAAATGACAGAGAAGTGAGAGTGCTCAGTGATGGCAAACAGCATATGGGGAGCAGGGGAGAGGGAGATTTGGCGTCCTTGCTGCAGTATTACATCCCAGCCGAACTCACATTGATCTCCGGGGGCCAGTTCGTTTCTGCTGGAAGAATCTGGCTTCCGGGACTCCAGGTACAAAATGAAAAACTCAATTTCTAGAGCACTAATGTTAGTGTTTGCCAAGTGTTTTCTCCCTTCCATTCCTCCCTACAAATCTTTTTCTTTTAAGGTCAGTGGAAAATTTAGCAGAACAGGCAGTTTTCCAGCAGGTTTAGTTTTGGAAGTTGAACTGATCAAATCATTTAATACTTGACAGGTGAGGTTAGAATTTGCTTATGCAATCTATAGTCTGAATTCTGATGCAATTTTGTATGCATAGGTGCATATGCATCTGTGGTTGTACACAGACACACCAGTTATAGCTCTGTGTAGGGGTACCAGGGCTGTTTTCTGTCCTAAAAACAGAGGGAGGATATGTTAGGTTAAAGACTCCTCTTAAATAAATGCTGATGATTCTCTTTTCTAGATACACCATTATTTTTGCTTTTTGGAAACAAAATGCTCTAGGATGGTGCTGATTTGTTCAAGAAGGAGCATGTCATTTCAGCCACTCTTGGAGTGCCATGACCTTTTAGAAACAACACAAAATTAAGAGCTTTGTTTTCTTTTGTTTCATTCTAGATATTTGCCCTGCTGTCTGCAAGAAGCTTCTGGAGGCTTGAGCAAAGGTTTGGGTGCTGCAGGAGTAAGTCAATGGTCAGATCGTTACCTCTAATTTTCCTGGAAATACTTCTTCAGAATTTCTGCTTCAGCTGCCATTTCTTCCTCTGTCCTCCACTTGTCAGGGGAATCATCTTTGTCGTGTCGCTGCAGCTTTTTCAGGGAGAAAAGAAAAAAAAGTCAGTTTATTATTTTTTCAGTTTTAATGTCAAATTTAGGGCAATGAATCTAACTATTCACGGGTATTCAGGATGGATGGACCTGGTGATGAAGAGAGGAAGGGTGAAGGTTGCTGGTTTAGAGTGGTGACAGTGGCTGCATTTACAAGGACAGCGCCAGTGCCAGGGTGAGGGACAGGCAGGGACAGGCTCAGCTCTGTGGGCTGAGGTCAGACACCTTGTGAGTCTTTGATGCAAAGCTGGCAGGTAAAACAACAGGAAAACACTCAGGTCCTTTGAAGCACTCACCCCACCAGTGGAGTGAGCTGGACACCTTGTCACTATTTCCTGTCAATTTTTCTCTCTGTCTTTTCCTCTTCTCATGGGACCACATTTCCTATCAAAGACCTATTGTGATAACAAAGCCCTGTTGCAATTGTTTCCCAACAGCAGTTTATATTAATATTTTTTTTTTCATTCCTTCTCTGCATGTAAGTCATTAATCCTTGCCTGCCATTGTTGAAAGCAAGACACATCCCTGGTCTAGAAACAAAACCTGTTATTTTAAGCATAATTATATTTCATTGGTTTCTTGGGGGGAAAAAAAAAAAGTATAAGGAACATATAATTTTTGGGTCCAACTGGCACACTGTGCCCGCAAAAATTTGCTCTATCCCATAGGCAGTAACTGTTACATGATATTGTCTCAGACATGATAATTACTTCCTTTGCCACTCAAGAAGAAGGGAGAAGCTGACAGCTTTGCTGCTTTCCTGAAGAAGGGAGCTCCATATTAGGGTAAATACTGGCACTTGAGTGACTGTTTGTGCACATGTCCCTTCAAAGAACGCCTGACACTTGTCAAGTGAAGGCAGCATTTACACCAGACAGCAGAAACATTTACTTAACGGATCAAGCATTGAGATTCCAGTGATTCTCTAGGTTTAGAGCACAGCACAGACTGCATTAACTGCACCAGTGCTTCTAAGGAATTTCATAATATCAACTTCCTGTTAATGTCACAAAAAGATTGAAAACTAAAGAATTTACACCTCTTATTCCAGGAAAAATTATAGTATAGAAGATGAAGTGGTGAAAAAACAAAGATGAAGCCATCATGAACCTCCAAGCAAAGTACATTACTGTATATGGAATGTTTAGCAACAAACTAGGATTGTTAGCATACCTCCAACTCACAAATACTTTTATTTATGCTATGTTTCTCCTACTCTGAATTTTGCTGCCAGCTAGAGTCCCATGTAGTTTTACACTCTGCAGCATAGAATTCCCCCTGCTCAGCAGATGAAGCTGCATTAGAAAGCCATTTCCTTTCATGCCAATACAATGCAGTAGCTGTAGGCAAATTAAAGTATATTACTGTTCGACTCAGAGAAGACTAATCTTCATTGTTCCATTAGTACTAAGTATGTTATAAATCCATCTTGTAATAATGCCACAGAATAAGAGAGAAAGATTTAAAAGGCAGGGACTGGTACAGTGTACACACTATCAGCACATGCCCTGGGTCCACAGGTCTGCTGTCACCCTCTGCACACACCCACAGGGTGACCTGGCAATGAGTTATTGGAAAGAGTATCCATCATCCTGTACTTTCTATGGACAAGAGAATGCACCAGGACAAGGCAAGTGGTGGTAAATCTGACTGAGGTGTGAGCTGTTTTCTGAAAAAAAAGCAGAGTTTTGCTCATTCAACCTGGTAGGAGGTACAGCGGGCAAAAGCTGGAAGGCAAGGGAGAGCTGCCCCTGTTCCTCAAGGTCTTCTTGTTTAATCCAGAAGAATTGCTTTTAGTGACATGATTTGGCTGCTGTTCTCCCTTGCTATCTCGTTTCTGCACAATCCAGGAGAGAGCTGTCTCCATGTGGAGACTGGTAAAGTGGGGGTGTGACTGGCACGTGGTGATATTTTTTTTACTGTTCAAGAAAACTGAAGTGAGTAGCAATAAGGAGGGTTAAAATGCAATGGCTTTTGTTGTCTAAATTAAAACGGTGCAGTTACAGACCACAGTGTCTTCTCAAACCTGGCAAAGGTGAGGGTTTCTTCTGCTACATAACAGCTAACCTTTAAAAATAATCAATCTTTGAGGTTAAAACAGATGTATGGAGAGCAGCAATGAATCCTGAAACTTTCCTGGAAGCCCAGCAGCTCTGGCTGCCAATGTACAGCCCCCAGGACACAGAGCAACCCAGCCTGGATGGGAGCTCAGCTCAGGCATCTCGAGCCTCTCTCACTGAAAAGGTGCCTCCACATTTTGTGGGCACACTGAGAATGTCAAACAACAGCCTGAGGTGTTAAACCACTGCCACAGCCAAGGTATTCATTGTTAACTGACTTATAGATGAGTATTATTTCAGCATAAAATTGCTACATCTACCCCACACAGCATCCTAGGACTACTCTGTGCTCAGAGCTCTTACTGTGCCAGTCATTTCTGAGGTGCAATCCACAATTATCACCCCAGAGCCACTTAGCTTGTGATATTACCAAACCAACACTGGAGGTATTGGGAAAATCACCTCTGGTGGCCTCCTACCCTTCTCTGACACCACCATCCTGCAGCTCCAGTATAAGCCAAAGCACAGAGAGAGCCACTTTGATGCAAAATAATTAAATTATGGATCACCTTGCTAGATGAGGAGTCCAGAGGAGGCCAAGAAGTTAATAAGAGGACAGGAGCACCTTCTCTATGAACACAGGCTGAGAAAATTGGGGCTGTTCAGCCTGAAGAAGAGCAGATTGCATGGAGACCCCACAGAACCTTTTAGTAGCTGAAGGAAGTCCACAGAGAAGGCAAAGGAACTCATTGGGAATTGTAATGACAGGACAAGGAGTAATGGGTACAACTTGAAATAGGGGAAATTTAGGTTGGATATTAGGAAGCTCATTTTTACTGTGAGGGTGGTGAGAAGCTGGCACAGGTTGCCCAGAGAAGTTGTGGATGCCCCAGCCCTGGCAGTGCTCAAAGCCACACTGGATAAGGCCTTGAGCAACCTGGTCCAGTGGGAGGTGTCCCTGTCCATGGCAGAAGCAGTCTGGGACTAGGTAATATTTACAGTCTGTTCCATCCCCACAACATTCCATGGTGTTCTGGATGCTAAACATTTGGCAGGTTCAAGATCAACAGTATCACAAACAGATGACAAAATAAAGGTTGCTGATATCAGCTCTAGCTCAGGGATTGCACATACTACAAATCCATGGAAACTGAAAAGCACAATGCAGGTCCTCCTGTGCACCTTGCTGGTTCTTCAAATCTCCAGGATCTGCTAGGGATCCCTAATGGTGACAAGGGAATGTGATCATGGATGGGTTTGGTCTCACCTGGTTATTTCATGTGTTCTTATGTAAGGTACATTTCAGCCAGGTTCAGTTCTCCCCATGAGGGCCTCTGTAAGCTGAAGCTACTTTCTACTTTTTTTTACTTTATGTAAAATTTTACTTTATGTAAATTGTACTTTATGTAAAATGTTTTTGTTTGTTTTAATTAAGAGAGATTAAGACAGTCTCTGTAGTATTTTAGCTAAATTGTAAAGCTGCTTTCAGGAGAGGAGAACATAGATATTTCAGTTACAAATTGTACTGATTTAGAATTCAGGTGGGGAACAAACATAACAGTTGTTACTTGTTTCTTAGGGAATTCTGTGCCTTAGAGTGTGTTCATGTTCATACACACATCCAAGTCCTAGCTGTGAATCTTTGCAAACATCTGACTTCTACTGAAAATTTGGATTAATCTGAGGAAGCAACACTCTCTTGCACCTCAAGAACACTCCAAGGTTCTGCTCAAGCTAAAGGGTAAAAAAGTGCCTCTATTTGCCAAATATCCATCCATAAAAATTAGTGATTTATCCACCTTTCCTATCCCTGTCAGAGTAAAAGCTGGATAAGTTGAGCTGACATCCTTATTCGGATATATCCAAACACAGTCTAGCTTGAAGTTTGTGATACTTTCTGTACACAATTCTATTTCTGCAAATTCAGCGCCCACTAAGGCAAGGTGAGCCTATAAAACCTTTTCTGTAGAGCTCCAAATTAGTTACCAGTTCAAAGCACATGGTACTTGGCCTGTTTTCATAAGAGAAAAGTGATGCAAAAGCATTGCACCAGGTGGACAAAATGTTTTACTGCAAAACTCCGAAAGCCCCAAATTCTCTAAAACCAAACCTGTTTGTAGAGACTCCACAGGAGTGTCTCTGAACCCTGAGCATCAACAGAAGGTGAGCAATGTCCTCAGCAGAGCTTGGATAACACTAAAAGGAGGGAACAGGATGAGAGAGCATGAGCAGCTCTTTTAGACAATCTCTAGTATGCTAAATTTTTCTTTTAATATTCTGAACAAGCACTGGGACACACATTAGTCAGTTCTCTAATCGCAGTTGCCCAGCAAATTACACACTGTATCTGCTCAGCATTCTTCAAGCACCAAGACTCGTGTTTTTAACTCCAAACATCTTCTTGCCTTGCAGTAGAAATAAATGCACTATTTCTAAGATGTGCCCTTCTTCAAGCAGATCATTACTGATGTCTGACTTCTTGGGCTCCTGATAAATTATCCTCTTCTTTCACCTCAAGCAGAAAATGCTCTTCCACCAATAATCTATGACTGTCAGTCTTGATTGCATGTAAACAGTGGAGCTCTTTGAATATTTCTGCTTGTGAAAAGTGTTCATTTTCTCACTCATGTCTCCCAGTGTGAGATGCTGGCAGACCTGACAGCTGTGCTTTATGTTATTTTATTAAAGTTGCTAGTGCTGCAGAATGGGCTATGTTTTTATCACTGCAATTCTTAAGGGAAACACAATATTGTTTTATAGCACATTCACATTGGGGGACCTCTCCTTCTTGCCCTTTTGTGGAGGAGCCCAGAATTCTCAGCACAGCCGACTACAGGGGACATGGGTCTATGGCTGGCTGTTGCTTGAAGTGATATGTATATTATTTTTTTTTCTACTTATGCCATAACACCATCAGAAAAG